AAATAAGCCAAGAAAAAAATTTTCCATCAAGTAAAATGGAATACTTTAATTATATTTGGAAAAAATGTAAAAATATTAAAAATTTCATTTTAAAGAGTTTCTATATTTTCATAAATGTTGACAAAATTATTTGGTCAATTTTCATTACAATTGCAATTCTTTTAAATTTTGTAAGATTAATTTATGGTAAGAATTTCAAAAATAAAAAAATTATAAATTAAAATATTTTATATTTTTAAAGGAAGTTTTTTTAAAATCAAAACTTGATTCATCTTGGTATCCAAAAAGGTGAAAAATAAAGAAATTCTATTTATTTCAATTCAATATAAATTATTAAATCCCCATATATTTTTTATTCCAAATAAAAATTTAGATTAAGATTCAAACTAATTTTCGAAAATTTGAACCATCATCCTTAAACATACTACCAAAATGTTTTTTGTTTCACGTTCTACTTTTAAAAAAAATCAATAATTAATTTTCCAGAGGATTCCTCTATTTCCACTTGCAAACTGTTTTAAAAACCTCTGCCTTTAAATAAGGGAAACATTTAAATTTTTTTTGTTTTTTTAATTAAAAAAATTTTTTTATTTTATTTATAAAACTTAACAATTTTTGACATTCATTACAAATTTTGTTGTGAGCAAATTATTGAATCAATAAAATTGGTAAATTTTTTTTTTTGATACATTTAAAAAATCATTTAAATAAATAAATGAATATTCTGTTTGTCCATCCATGTTTGAAATGCTTTCTTAATAAAACAAAACATATTTGAATTTTTTATTTGAAAAATATTAAAAATTAAGTAGTTTCATCATGTTTTTTTTTTTTTTAAAATTAAAAAAATATTTGTGAATTTAATGTTTAAATTTTTCTTTTTAAATTCATTTTAAAATTATAAAAAAAATTTTTGAATGAGAAAATCAATTTCAATTTCTTAAAAATTTTAAAGGAATTCAAAATTGATTTTTTGACAAAATTTATGGACAACCATTTTGAATCATTTAAAATTTGAAAAAGTTGAAAATTCTGTTGTGATTGGAAAAATTTAAACCAAATTTACAAATTAAAAAAATTATATTCCTTTGAACTTAGTGGAAAAAAATTTATATTCAAATTTACTTTTTAAAATTTCAGTTATATTCTCAATAAAAATATCCATTGAATTCTAAATTTGGTGTCCAACAATTTTTTCTAAAATTTTTTTTCACTACTTTTAATTTGGAAAATGAAATATTCAATATATTCATGATCTTATTATAAAAGAAAACTTTATTATATAGCATTTATTTCATTTCAATTGCACTTTTTACATTCAGATCATTTTTGCATTGGAAATTTTCAATTGAATTTTGAAAAAAATTTCAAAAACTGATGAAGGATTAATAATCTTTATCAAATTTTAAAATAAAAAAAAGGTTGAAAAAAGTATATAATCATATTTTCACTTGGAAAAATTTTTTATTTTATCCATTTGGAAATATTAGATAAAAAAAGATGTTCAAATTACTTAAACAAAAATTTTTTCCATTTTGCAAATTTGCAAAAGTCAATTCAAAAACTTTAAAATTTTCATTACTAATAAAAAAAAATTTAAAAAAAAAATAATTTATCCATACAACAAAATAAATTTTTGAAAATGAATAAATTTTAAAAGGAAAAAAGGTTTATAATATTGGATAAATTTAATTGTTAAATTTTAATTAATCTAATCAAAGAAAATCAAAAAGTTCAATTAAATTCTTTAAATTAAAAAATTTGGCAGATTCTAAGTGAAAATCATAAGTTACTTTTATATTAATCTCCAATTTCCTGATATGATGCAAAAAATTAAATCTTAAAGATTGACAAATTTATTAATTTAAAATAAAAGAAATAAAAAAATGAAAATCCGGAAAAAATTAATTTTTCAAATATTTGAAAATAATATTTTTGTTGTTATAAAATGTTAAACTATAAAAATTTAATTTGAATAAAAAAATATTAATAGAAATTTTTGTTTTCAAAAATTAATTTTAAAATGAAATTTTAAAAAAACATAATTTTGAAGAAAATTCCTAATATAGGTACCTCCATGAGATCGCTAAAAAAAAGAGCATAGCATGATGAAAAAGACGCCAAACTTGACGAAAACAAAATTTTATCGTCTAAATGTTTGTTATTATTAAGAGGAAAGGTCAAAGTATTTTTTGGGGTATTTTTTTTCCATTTTTAATCGTTCCTAGCACGTCCGAAATTTTCGTTAAAAATCTTTTTTTTTTTTGAGTCAAAATTGACAGAAAATTGACCATTTTTTCCATTTTTTTAAAAAAAAATGGAAATCTGACTTTGAAATTTTTTTTAAATATCAATTATCATTTTTTTTCAAAACTTATTTTAAGAAAATCAGAAATTATAATGTTTATTTAAAATATTTTGAACCAAACTTAACTTAGCTTTTGTGCCAAAAAGATGTAATTTGAAAAATAAAACAAAGCAGGTCATAAACTTTCGCGTCTCTTGACAGGTGATGAATGATATATTTACGAATTCCATGAGGCTAATTTGTTCTACGGAAGGAGAAAAGTGAAATAATTTACATTTACGTGAACAAATTATTTACCCCGTTATTTTTAAGGAAAACTTTCAGCGGTCTAATTTTTTTTTTTTTTTTTTTTGTACTTAGCTTTCACCTTTACGTTTATGATGCTTTATGGAAAATATATTATAAAGAAATTAAAATAAAACTGTTAAGAGTGACATTAAATTTCATATTTCTTAAGAAAGGTATCTAATTAATTTATAGGTACCTTTCTTATGAAATTTTATCAGAATTGTACATAAAATACTATAATTTTATGTACATTTATTACATTTTACTGTTATTTGTATTTGCATTCATTTTATTATTAATTTTGATATTTCATTTATGGAAAAATGTCATAACTGAGATTAATATAAAAAAATAAGATCATATAAATTTCATAAGATGATACTGATACTTGTAGGTACCCTTCTCAGTTGAAATTGAAAAATCAAATTAACTTCTCCACACGTGTTTCGCAAAAAGTAAAGGCCTTAACAGCGGAGAACAATGCTTAACTCAAATAACGCAACTTAATTATATTCTGGTTGGTCTTCCGTATTTTATAATTACAGCTCGATTATAAGCACAAAATTACATTTTTAATTACTGGGGATCTTCTGATTAGTCAAAATGATACAATTTACAACGCGCTAAAAAAAAAGATCTATCTCATAAGGACACTTATGAAAGCCTGATGCGGCTTTTAACTAATTTTATAATATTTTAACAACTTAAATGTAAAAATCTATTATAATTAATGAAATAACAAATAATTGTATTAAAAATTCATTTTTCATCGAAAAAAATTTTTTTTGCTTTCAGAAAATATTGTCCATATTCATAAAAACAACTAAAAGCAAATAAAAGCATTTGAAATTAAATAATATCTTTGTTTTATTGAGTTTTGTATGTTACAATTCAGAGCTGATTTTCAGGTACTGGGTATCCAATTAAAAAAAAAAAAAAAAACATGATTTGCATTCCTCAAAGCCCCTGTGCTTTTTAATTATTGTAATCACTAAAACCGATGCGATCGAATTTCTAGCGTTTTCATAAAATTAGTTATGGGGGGGTAATAAATATTTAAAAAAAAATATTTCTACCATGACTTTAATAAAAAAAAATATTTATAATAATTTCGATCATCTGTGAATAGTTCCTGAAAGTTTCATTAACATCCGATAATTATTTTTATTTTTGCAAGATTTTTCAAATTAATGTGTGTCATACAAAAAAAAAAAACGTGCTAAAAATAGTCTGTTATTTTACTAGTTCCGCTGATACAAATAGAAAAAAGTTTTTTTAATCAAAATTTAGAATGTTCTAAAAAGAAGGAAAAATTTTTAAAAATAATTAAAAAAAAACTTTGGTCTTTCCTCTTAATAATAACATAAGCATTTAGACAATAAAATTTTGTTTTCGGCAAGGTTGGCGTCTTTTTCATCAAGCTATGCTCTTTTTTAGCGATTTCGTGGAGGTACCTATGTAATATAGACGCGATATCCCACTTTATATTGACATAATTTCTTGTTGATTAATCAAATTTGATTAGGTATGAATCCACCTAAGCTATTGGTTAATTAGTAAAACTAATACACCTAAACAATTACCCACCCTTGCACACTCACACTTTTTATTTCCTGGCTTTTAAATAACCTTTATATGGTTGGTAAGCCGTAGAAAACTAACAAATTATCGTCTTTTTGAGAAAGTATGGACAGAGGAAGGATTACATGCCATTAATCACCGGATATCTAGATCAGCTGTTTTGAAATCCGGAGTAGGAGTGTATTATGTATGAACTTTTTTACCCCCCACCTTTATAACTTCAACTTTTAAAGGAAGATAAGGAGCGTTTTAAATGTCTTCGAAAAACCTTTCTTGGAAAGGTGCATTTCATGTTTCCTGCCGTAAATCTTTAAAAGAATCCACTTCACGGCATTAGTCTTTTTTTGCCTTATATAAGACATAAAAAATCCTACTTGCCTCGCAAATATTCTATTAAGTCCGTCTACAAAATTAAATAGTGACTTAGTAAACATAGCTTAGACGTGCCGCATTTTTTCAGTGAGGATCGAACTCGCTGTTGTCATATTTGATCTAGCGAGAAGGCTGAAATATACTTTATATAGCAAGTTTATAAATCAAAAGTATTTAGTAAGCGTTGTTTTAGACTGCTACCTGTAAAGATCAACTGCTTGTGTTTTCTTTGCTAAGTTGTGTGCCGAGATAGGAGCATTGAAAATTGGAAAAAGTCCTTAAGAGGCCATATTGTACAGTGGTCATCTCGCGGTATATTTTCTTTAGTGTGCTGAATTTTCAATCCCTACTAATAGTGATTCCACTGTAAAACCAAGGAAGGTTTTCACTAAAACCTGGCAGTTTATTTGCAATAACAAATGCACAAGATATGATTTTTCTTATCTAAGAGATATTCTCAAATACATTGTCATCGTTCGTTCGTTCGTCTCCCCTCCCTCCACACTATTTTTTCAAAAACTTTACATTCCCTTTCCGACTGCCGAATTTGCAACGTCAGCCGTGTAAAATCATTTCAACCTCTAATGGGAAAAAAATTACTTTCTGATAAGTGTCTATGAATTAAATCGTTCAGGTTAACACCAGAAGTTGAAAAAAAAAAAAAAAAAATCAATTTCGTCTCTTCATGAGTGTCGTGACTTAAAATGATTAATTTCGCTAAACTAACATAACGATTTGTCATTTTTAAGACTATGAAATCCCATAAGCTGAAATTCGAATAACAAGAAGACTGCGCATGAATAGCTAGGAGCGTCCCCATTTCGTGAACATCATTTGCAATTTTTTCTGATGAAATAATTATCTGTTAATGAAACTCACATGGACCAACAAAAGAGAAATTTACCTTAAGATTTAAGGAAATAATCTCTCAACCTGAAAATCGAACATGTGTTAGCAGACAGTGTGGTGCATGGAATGGCGGAATCGAAAATTAAAAAGAATATTATAACAAAACGAGGACGAATTCGTGTTTATGCAGTGAAAACCATAAAGTAAAATTAATAATTCCGGAATTTTATCGTGGATTTAGTAAACTATTGGCGTAGATTAAAGAATTTGATAGTGATAGGATAAGAAAACCGATAATTTAATGGTGAAACAGTTCTACGATTTTATTTTAAATATCATGTTGTGGAAGAGATTTATGATGTGGGACTCTAAAAAAAAAGAAATATTTATTTTATAATCAACACATTTGGACTGCAAATATTTACGGGCTCTTGATAAATTGCAAACAATATTGGCGGATTCAATGCGAGTTGAAAAAATGCAAAAAACACAAAACAAATATAAAACTAACGACAATGCATGTATTTATAAAAGGAATTACATGTGACGAAAGGAAGAAATATGAAACCAGCTACAATAGGAATGTGCTTTTTATGAAAAAAACGTGAAAAGGGACGTATGCCAGTTGGAGGGGTTCTTTATCCATGCGACTACATCTATAAAATAGGCTTTTAGAGAAATGCACGCCATTTTATAGGCTTAAGGAGCTCCAAATAGCGACAGTTTTTTGGCAAAGTCAATTGGGATAATCCACAACTACAATATCGGATTTTTTGCTTTATTTCTGCATTTATTTACATTCTTTATGTATGTATGTATATATTATGTATTTGCTGTTTAATTTTTAGATGGAACTCAGGTGGAGCTTGGGATTGTTATTCTTTACTTAGAATTACGCTCGTAAATAAAATGTTAAAAAAAAAAAACGTTTCTATTCTTTGAAACAAATTGTTTTATATATGTATATATATATATATATATATATATATATATATATATATATATATATTATATGTATTCTTCTTGTCTAGGGGTACTGTCTAGATGATACGTACCAACGTTAGGCATAAAAATCATTTGGAATTTGAAAATCTATTTTAAAGTTCAAACAAAGACACGAAATGAAATATTACTATTTTCTATATTTCAGCAATAGTCCTGTCCGTCCACGCTGTCGTCATTAAACCTCGTTAGTATGTTCACGAATGACTAACTTAACAAACTTACTACTTTATCTATATTTAAAAATAGATAAAATCTCGCTAACTCACTGAATTCCTTTTTATTTTCACTCTTTGCCTTTCATTACGCGGCAGCTTTTGTATTGTTCGATGGTGAGGTGACGCTTTGCTTATTAAAATTAACATTTTACTAAAACTAAGGTTTATTTTTACATTTTTAAAGAGAAAAAGGTATTTTAACTATTTACATTGTTCGGACTGTTCTCGTTTTTGCTGTCACTTTCACGACATTTTTTGATCGAAAAAGCTACGGCATTCAGGTGATATCTGGGTGCAATTACACTTTCACATCCGTTTAATTTTAAAACATCACCAGATAAATTTATAAAAAAAAAACTTAAGTTTTTTTTTTTTTTTTTTTTTTTTTTAAGTTTAACTTCATAAAAATTAAAATAACAGTTGGACTGTTGCAATTATTAAATTTATTTTACATACACTAGCAATGATTTTAAAAAGCTTTTGTAAATGTTTTTTGTAATGAAAGTCAGACTGATAAAGTGAAATATATTTAAAATTAAATCCACAAATTGAAACAAATATTAATAAAGAAGGAAATCTATTCGTTTTTTTTTTTTATTTTTTAAATTTTTTTAATTTTTTTTTTTTAATTAAAAAAACCGAAGACACAAAACATCGTCTGCTTGACAGTGTCATGGGGGAGTGCGAAAGAGTAATAGGCCCGGTATTTGTTGTAATTTCGAACCGACACTTAATTTAGTCTACGGTGGTAAATTATTCTAATTCCATTTATCATTTTTTTGGATATATGTTCTAGTTAATTCGCCTTGGTTTTGTTCTCTCCGCTAAGACCAGGGATTGAACTCACAACTGTTAGGTTAAATCACTTTTTCGAACAACTATAAAAAACATGCCGGCTCCTTAAGATAAGACTAGAGGAACACCGTAAGGCCGTAACACGAGGGGAAATAGAAAATCAGGCATGGCTGACCACATATGGAGAGAAAAAGGAGACCACTGCTCTCTATGGGATGAAGATAAAATAACGGAAAATTGGTTTGTGATCCATTCGAAATCACACGACATCTCTATATTTCTGAGATGAGCTATTGTCCGAATTTAACCTATTCGGACAGTTGTCCTCATCTTTACATTCACGACTTTTCAGCCGTTGTATGCTCCGGCCTTCTTCAGATGGTATTTGTTGGAATTTCGAACCATGGGGGTTGTTCTAATGCCGTGTACCATGCCTTTGGATATCTCCGTTTTAGTTAATTTGCCTTGATAACTCTCCTAGTTTCTGTTCTCTCCGCTGAAGCTGTGACTTGAACTCGCAACTCATTATCTCAAGTCGTTTTTGAGATTAATTAACCAACGTTTCTATGCACTGTCATGCGTGCACATGGCGTAAACAAGAAATCCACAATATTTTCAGTTAACTTCCAAAATTACACTTTGAAGCGGGGAAATATTAATGTTGAAAACTGACAGGTCTTATAACAATATTGTATGGTCGAACACTGACAGGTCTTGTAACAATATTGTATGGTCGAACACTGACAGGTCTTGTAACAATATTGTATGGTCGAACACTGACAGGTCTTATAACAATATTGTATGGTCGAACACTGACAGGTCTTGTAACAATATTGTATGGTCGAACACTGACAGGTCTTGTAACAATATTGTATGGTCGAACACTGACAGGGTAACAATTTTGTATGGTCGAACAACCAGGTCTTGTAACAATATTGTATGGTCGAACACTGACAGGTCTTGTAACAATATTGCGGTCGAAACAATTTGTATGGTCGAACACTGACAGGTCTTTAATAATATTGTATGGTCGAACACTGACAGGTCTTATAACAATATTGTATGGTCGAACACTGACAGGTCTTATAACAATATTGTATGGTCGAACACTGACAGGTCTTATAACAATTGTATGGTCGAACACTGACAGGTCTTATAACAATATTGTATGGGTCAGGAACATTGTCTGGAACAGGATCTTATAACAATATTGTATGGTCGAACACTGACAGGTCTTATAACAATTTTGTATGGTCGAACATTTAAAGGTCTTATAACAATATTGTATAAATCTATTTCGAACACTGATGCAGGTCTTATAACAATATTTTGGTTAACTTGGGTGTTTCCCCACTTACCTGCAATTGCCAGTATGTTATGGGTGTTGAAATTCAAATCATTTATCTTGAATTCAGTATGTTGTTTTTAGTGGCAGGATGTGTATCTTGTCTATTTTCAGATCGTAGACGTGACAAGACAGCGGCGTGGCCCAGACCGAGGCAATGGCAGTGCTGCATCTGGAACAGAGACTGACACCAGTGTATCCAACTACAGGGGCCGCTACTCTGCACCTCCCTCTCGAGCTGGATCTGTGATGAGGAGCACCAGCTACAATAGTGGCATGCTCAAGTGTGATGATCCGTCAGCTGCAACATCTCCTACCTCTACATCTGTCCATAATAACCATCACTCTCAGTCTCCACCCCCGCAGTCTCCTCAACAAATGCCGCAGCAAATGGGCAGTAGTCGTTCCAGTCATGCCAGTAACAATGGTATGTTGGCCATCAATAAGGAGACGGTTAGTGTGAAAAATGAGCCTGAGTCTCCGCCCAAACAGCAACGTGAGCCTCGCAAGCAGCCTCGACAGCAGCAAAGTGGCAGTGAGTCTGAAACTAAGACTATCAAAAGCAAGTCCAATAATTCTGCTTCAGCTGTTAATTCTGCATCCTCTGGCTCTAAGTCCAAAGAACAGTTGGTAAATGGAGAGCAGTGAATTTTTGGGAATCCTCCCCATCCCCCTCCCCCTTGACCTGTTGAAAGAATCGGCCTGTGGCCAGGCACGGCTTGCAGGCAAGGCAGGCCCAATCACATTGGTAACTTTTCAACTGACAGACAACAAACACATAGATGTATGATGGACGCTGCTGCTGCTGCTCCAATAATAATTAAAAAAAAAAAAAAAAAACAGCCTTTAAGAATAAGGAACCAAAACTAAGAAAAATTGAACATTTCTTTTAAAAGATGGGGAAAAAAAAATTCTTCCTTCCCTATTCCATCTCCCCAACCTATATTTGTGTGTGTTTAGGATGACTTCCCTGAATTGCCTAGACTTTAGTCTGTTTGGTTTAACTTCTGGACTAAGCACAATCTATGCATATGTTGTCGAGCAATACAAACTGCTGCTATCACTGCATTGTCTTGGACTGCATGGAGAGTGAGCCCAGATGGCAATGAGGAATTTGATGTGCACCATCAGGAAGATGGAGGTTTTATTCAGTTCCTCTTTCTATTATAATTTAAAATAAATTAAAAAAAAAAAAAAAAAAAATTTTAAAAATTTCTAAAATAAAAATTTAAAAAAATTGATGACAACACTAATTCTACTGGAGGGTACCATGCTGGTAGCAAATGTAGGCTAGAGGGTATTGAAGTCTTTTACTTCCCTTGGAGATAATTTTCTTGCGATCTATGTTGGCCTGTAGGCATTTGAGATTTTTGTTCAGTCTCTATTGATGAAACGAACTTCTGAGGCTTTTGTTGTATTATGAGCAAACCCTTATTTTTCTTTTTCACTTGTTTTATTTTCTCTTCAGCATTTTCATCACTATTTGGCAGGGTTCCCCTTAGTATTTCACTTTTTTTTACTTTTTTTTTTTTTTTTAAATTCATTTTTATTTATTTCATTTTACTAAATTTAAACATGTTCCCCCCACCCTTACTTGAATTCTTTAAAATATTGCAGAATAAATAATATTTCAAGTGAAATTTGATTCCTTTCAGTATTAGAGCAGGCAAAATATTTTACTGCCTGCAGTACCTTGATTACCCTTCAATTACAGTGCGATGGCATTCACAGCCTCTAAAATATCTGCTCTCAATGCCATCTTATTTATAAATCATTGAGTTGCTAGATGTGTTACTTTTTCAATACTTTGCCTCAGTAACATATCAGTAGCAAATATCAAGAACAAATAAGCAAAAATTACTGTTCATCCAGGTCAATGTTGGTTAGTTGGTATCTCCATGGCTTCTAAAGTGCCCAATTGTATGCTTTGCTATTAAAAGCTGGCTACCATTGATGATACATGCATTGTTTTGACTATACAGCAACAGAAAATTGTTAATAGTTCCTTGCAATCATTCTAGTAAAATGTACTGGAATAATTGCAGGTTTGACTATATCTCTTCATATGTTATTATTGAGACAGTTACTGCAGTCAGCTGGTCAAATTGTATGGCCAGCCATGCTCACTTATAGCAGTTATTCTGATGAAAACTTATGCCTGTTAGACATACAAACACTTTTTAAATTTGGAAAAAATAAATTGACATCTACACACCGAATATGATATCTCTTATCTGCAAAGTTTGAAAAAAAAAAAAAAATTAAAAACCCAAAAAAATGTTTTTCTTGTTAATTACCCCTTAATATAAATTGGAGTCTGGGTAAAAAAGAAATTTGATTTCTTTGAAATTAGATTTTCTTGGTAACTTCTGACTGCTAATTTCTTGCCACTGATGTCTCTATCCTGCTATGAATCCACAGCTAATAATTTGGCTCTAATAACATTTTTAATGAAATATTTGCAGTATTCAGGGGCTATAAAAGAAATAACTTTCTCAAACACTTTGAAAAATGATTTTATTACCTAACATATTAAAGGTTTTCTTTTTCTACACCTCCTTCAACTTTAAAAACTCTTGCTTTCTCTATAAAAACAATATCTTATATTGAAAGTGGTTTATATTTTTCTGTCCTTATACGTATACATTTTATATATGCTTTCAATCACAGGAATGTTAAAATTTTCTCTACACACAACTTTAAAGGAGGGGGATTATTGCTTGTTCTTTTTGGGAGGAGATTAGGTTGCATGTGTGTTTGTGTGTGTGTAGGGAATTTTGTTTTATATTTTTCATTACTTAACTGTTTCCTTTCTCACTTTTCCATTTTTCTGTCCTTCCCCAACTTTGTAAGATGAGCCAAAATGCCCTGGCTACTCTTGAAACTGCTGTGGCAGCTGTTATTTTCATTGGTATATTCGATGGTCCTGGATTTGATCAATCCGCTTTTGTATGGTTAGTTCTTCTCAAATTGTGAATTTCTCATCATACAGAAAACACTAAATTTAGAAATATAGCAAAAAATTATTTTGCACATAAAACAAATTTTACTTTAAAGGAAATGGTTTGTAAATGTTAGGTCTTTTTCCATAAGGCCTCCATTTTTTTTTTTTTTTTAAGGTTTACCCTTTGAACTGTTTGAAGCAACTTCTTTAGCACAGCAAAAAGTTACATAATTAACTAATCATGAATATTCATGTCTCGTCACCAGTTATAAAACTATTCTTAATAACAGGCTATATCTGTTAGATTCTCTCAGTTTATAGTTTTCCTTGCTTCATAAGTTCTTTAGGAAACAATGCAAGCATGTGTATTTTCTCAGAGTATATTGGTTTGATAGGTTATTAATTTTGTTTTGACATTTGAGATTTAGTTTGTTTACAAAACTTATGTTAAGAGCTTTCTATTTAGACTGTTGCTATTAAATTTTCTTGTATTCAGTAATTGATTCAAATTATAACAATTTAATGAAATTTACATCTTGGCACAGAATCTTTTAAATTTTTATACACTTTAGTTTGACTTTTTCAAGCATATAGATTTTAAATATTAACAGTTTTTCAATAAATTCTGTAAAAATATATATAAAAGACTTAATTTAGCAATATTTAAATTATTTTGAGAGTATTTTTGAAGTTAGAAGAAATCAAAACCCTCCTGAGCTGAAACTAATTGTTTTTGTTTTCTAGTACCTGTTCCATAATTTTTTATTTTTTGGTTTCATATTTTATACATTAAACTATTTTATCTCCCTTCTCTACATTTGTAATACCAAAAAAGTAATTTTTCTGAGTTTATAGATATTTCCTCAACTTAGTATTCTCAACATAGTTGCTTGGAATATAATTTAAGAGAATGTTTCCATATATAATTAGTCTGAAATTGTGCATTTATGCAATATAGTAACTCTTACTATGTTACTGTAGCTATGTTGGGATTTATAAAAATATTTACTTTGGTTTAATTCTGTAGCAAATATCAAAAATGGAAGTATTTGTGTATGTTTGTATGAAATATATATGCATACATACACATGTGTACACTCTTTTGGTATAATTACTGCTGATTAGATCTTAACCAAACATTTTCTGGGTGGTCAGCTCTTATAGACTTTGAATCCACCTACCCCATATATATTGCACCTTTTTGCAAAGGTATCAGAAAATTATTTAATATTACTAAATCTTTAAGGTAAATCTGAAGCTCCTTATAGAAAGCTAGAAATTTCCTGAAAAGTTTCATATTAAAAGACTGTTTATGCTATTCCCTAACTCTTATATTTTAAAACAGAGTTGGAACAAAATCACTTAACTCATGACTGATTACTAGATTCATTACACTATAACAGTATCAATGAAATGTCAAATGCATATATTGGCCTTTTTATGAAATCGGCATAGAAGTATACTAATATAGAAGTATACTAATATCCTCCTCTTGCACAAATTTGCTTTATAGTAGTTTTATGTATATTTTATTATATATAAAAAAAACTAGGCTCACTATTAAAAAAAAAAAATCCACAACTGTTAAATCAACAGATTTTCTGTTGGGTTCTAGTTATATGACTGAGGAAATCATTTTATATTTGGATGCCTTTTGTATTTCTGCCATTATTTTATTGAAGTTAATGTTTTATTTTATTTTTTTTTTCTTCTTAGTGGAATTTGAATGTAATAATTTGAGATTTGATGAGGTTTAAATATTCGCTAACACTTCTCTCTCTCTCTTGATTGTAGCAAATGTAACCATTACTTATCATTTAAGTAACAGAATATCAAGGAGTTAGCAGAATTTAGATTACTTTTTCTTTTACTGTATGCACTAATTTAAGTATTTGTTGTATCACTAAATACTTGGAGGTATAAACTAATTTCTTTGATTAACTGCCTTTTTATAAAATTTTACAATTATATCCTCAATTTTTGTAAAATTATTGATTTTTAATCATTTTGAATGACTGCATAATATTAGCACCTTTTGTAAGTAAAGTATTTAAAGTTTTTCTTTCTTAATACTGCAGTGCAGGGCTTTATCCTTTAAAATCAGCCATTTCTTTAGAGTTTATGGCATATGCTCTGGCTGTCTCCTATCAACAAATATGGCCATTAACATTTTGCTGCTTGGCACCCAACTACTTTGTCTTTAGCAAGTTCATTATTTTTAATGGTTTTTTTTTTTTTTTAAATTCACTTTGTCTAAAAGACTCAAAATAAAATCTTTAAATTTGATGTTTGGAACTTTTTATGAAATTTCCATTTAGAAAGAAATCCTGAAACATTAAGTGTTATTGCATCAAAATCCAACTGATTTTTCTCAAGAACAGATCTTGGTGCCACTGATATAATCTTACCATCTCTGCAACATGCACTTCAGTTACATTTCAATCTTTTATATCTTTTGGGGAGTACAATTTTCTCCATGCTTTTATCTCCTTTAATAATTGGCTATTCATCCTCTTAAGATTGTTTTGTACTGCTGTGCTTCACTGTGTATTGTATAAAATTTACTTAGAGAACAAACCTAATAAGCAGCTCTTTAGAGCCAATTGGTTATCTTGCTTCAATATCCCATAGTGAATGCCAATGTTTAGGCCAAGCTCAAAATTATATGTAGAGTTCGGCATAACTTAATACGAATGAACCAAGG